ATTCATTTCACCAAATTAATGTATGTATTTAAATAACCTCCCAAAAATGCCATGCATTTTATAAGACCAGGCAAAATACAGTATTACAGACACAGATAATATATGTATATCGTTGACATACATTTGTCGTCGATGTATTTTCTGTTTTCCTTGCTGTTTAAACAGGCCTGGTAACGCAGTTAGTTAACTCTTTCACCCCCAAGCAGTTGATACTGTTTCTATTTCTACCCTAATGAGTTCGGCATAGAATCACTATATGCTTATATGTGAATGATTTAAATAGAGAGACTGCGGGTCAGAGGTGTTTTAATTAATAATTCAGTTCAGGTTGCCTGTACTCTATAAGATCTTAGCTTGGCCTGTATTGTCACTGTTTATCTTCTCTCTCGTCAAGGCTCTCATCGGTGAAAATTCAGACGAAGCAAATGCACTAATCTATACAGACGGATCCGTTATACGCCAAAGAAGAAGCGCATGGCACATTTACACAGCACGCTCAGCGGGCAGAACAGTCAAAGAGCCAACGGCGCTTTCTACATGACAACCAGCAGCATGGACGATGGCGTTGTGATGGCAGTGACGCAAGCGTTTGCCTGGCTCGAAACACAAAAATACTCCCTCACATGTATACTCAGTGATTCAATGAGTATGAGCCGGAGGGTTCAGGCAGTTTTCAGTGCGAAGACAATGGCTGAAATCACTTCAGAAGTCTCCACTGTGCGTTGGAGTCACCTTTATTTTGTTCCGGGACACGCAGGGCGTCGATGGAAATGAAAGAGCTGACAGTTTGGTCTGGATCCGCTATCACTACTGACGGGTCGGCCTATGGATCATGCTGATATTATCAATGCCCTCAGAGAGATGGGAAGGATAGAGGACTTTGGTGGCAGTGAATCCACATCACTCGCCAGAATGGCAGACTTGGGAATTAAGATCGGCACAGCAAAAAACGAGACGCACACCGGACACGTCAGAAGACTTGTTAATCAACATAGAACTGGTACTATTAGCCATCGGACGTTGGGGTTCATACTGAGAGGAGGATCTGAGCACCTATGGACATGTCCGGAGTGCAATGATGATAACCCAACTAACTAACTAACTAACTATCTTCTCTCTCAAATGTTTCATATGGTTGTTTCTGACAGTGAGACCCTGTCAAAGATCTTAGCTTGGCCTGTATTGTCACAGTTCACCTTCTCTCTCAAATGTACTTTAGCCCCAGGACTGCCACAGGGATCCGCCATCTCGCCTGTGCTCTTCAACGTGTATACGAGCACGACTGCAAGCCTAGAAGCACCAGGAGTTGAAAGGATACTGACTTTTGCGGATGATATACTTGCATATAGGCAGGGGGAAGAGAGGGAACAAACAGCTCGGGAGCTACAAGCGACAGTAGACAACGTGACTGAGTGGTGTACAGAAATGAAGGCTGTCGTCCACCCGGAGAATGCGTCTGTTTTGTGGTGTTCTCTGGACAACAGAATCGTTAAAACTAATGTCCCAAGTTTCACGATAGATGGTAGAGACGTCAACAGAGAGAGCAAACTGAAGTATCTGGGAATTACATTTGACAGGAGCCTGTCATTTAAGCACCATGTGGAGAGTGTTGTGACGAGATGCCAAAAAGTACTTTGTGCACTTTAGACTATGGCTGCAATTGACATAGAGCAGAGAATGCTTTCAACACTATATCAGCACCTGATCCTGTCAGTGGTTGATTATGGCCTTGGACTGCTTACCGTCTCAAAGAGTTAGATGGACAAACTAGAGCGCATACAGAACGTGGCTATGCGGGTCATTCTGGGTTGCACCAGAGACACCCCAGTGGTGTGTATGCGATACATCCTTGGTTTGCCGACGGTTGCAGGTAGGCGCAATGTGATGCAGGCGAAGTAATCTCTCAGGGTAGTTGCAGACACAGACCACCCTCTGCATGAAGCTCTGGGTGCAGTTAAGGGTCAGCGGCTGATAAGAGGGAGGTCATGGATGGCTCAGGCAGAAGACACAATCAGACAGGTTTGCATCCTTGAGAACATTAGGCGAGGAGAGGAGTGGGTCAAAGTGCCACCTGAGCAGTCAGACAGCAGGTGGCACAGAGGTGGAAATTCAGCAATTAATTCAAGATAATGCTCGCTCAGAGGATTTGATTATTTACACAGACGGTTCAGTGTCAAGGGGCAAAAGAAGTGCTTGGGGCTTTTTAGAAAAAAGGTAATGGTCGACGTTTGGTGAAGGAGAGCCTAGCATATGATACCACAACATCCAGCTTAAGAATGGAGGTGGAGGCGGTCACTGCAGCTTTCCGCTGGCTAGAGAACACGACACACACATACATTGTAATGGTAACTAATTCAGAAAGCATGCTGAGGAAGATCAGAACAGGTATGCTTCGTGCAGAGTGGCATGCTTCGCTGCGGAGGACACGAGTGAGGAGTTTTGTCTGGATTTTTTCACCGGGTCACGCCGGTGTGTTGGGAAATGAACAGGCGGACAGACTGGCTGGCTCTGCACAACTTGGTGGAATACTGCTACATGATAGGGCAGACGTGGCTAGTGCCTTGTGGGAGAGCGTGTACAATGCGGAGGAGCAGATGGATCACCACAGTCTGGTGAGATTGATGCAGTTGGGGGTGACGAGAGGTTCTGGCAGAAGCTCAATGCTCAGAGGAAAGGCAAGACAGACGTTTAATCAGAAAGCTACTGGCACCATTAGTATCGGAACTCTTCGCTGGCTGCTGAAGATTTGGACGGAGCGCTTATGGGAATGCCCCGAGTGCTGTGATGTCCGTTCTTGAATTATATCAAATCAAATCTCTCAAATGTTTCCTGTGGTTGTTTCTGATAGAGAGACCCTGTCAAGTATCTTAGCTTGGCCAGTATTGTCACAGTTTATCTTCTCTCTCAACTGTTTCATGTGGTTACCTAGAGGCCCTGTCAAATATCTTAGCTAGGCCTGTACTGTCACTGTTCACCCTCTCTCTCTCTCAACTGTTTCAGGTGGTTGTCTATGTTAGAGGCCCTGTCAAAGATCTTAGCTAGGCCTGTACTGTCACAGTTCATCTTCTCTCTCAAATGTTTCAGGTGGTTGTCTATGTTAGAGGCCCTGTCAAAGATCTTAACTTGGCTGTATTGTCACTATTCATCTTCTCTCTCAAATGTTTCATGTGGCAGTCCATGTTAGAGGCCCTGTCAAAGATCTTAACTTGGCTGTATTGTCACTATTCATCTTCTCTCTTAAGTGTTTCATGTGGTAGTCTATGTTAGAGGCCCTGTCAAAGATCTCAGCTAGGCCTGTACTGTCACTGTTCACCTTCTCTCTCAAATGTTTCAGGTGGTTGTCTATGCTAGAGGCCCTGTCAAATATCAGCCTCTCACGGGGAGTACGTGACGATGATTCTGTTGACCAGCTGCACCACTTTGCAACAGTGGCCATCTTTGCCACATTTGCTGCTCTGATTGGCATGAACCAGTATGTGGGAGACCCCATCCATTGCTGGGTACCTGCTCAGTTCCCGAAACATCATACGGTACAGTAATATTGTTGTCCTACTGGTGCTGTAGTTAAACACAGTATGGTAGTAAAGAGTATTTGTAAAGTCTCGTTACACTTTTTATGTAGAAAATTGTTTTAAAGTGCACGACGTCATCAAAAATATGCTCCACCGTCAATGCTGAAATAATAAGCAGTGGATGGCTGTCTCTGATATAGTAATTCTTTGCACTCAAAACAAACGGGAAATGGGGAAGATGCTCCACGATCTGGTAAGCCGGCCGTATCGAGAGAAATGTATCTATATATCCAAGACAGATTCCTGAAAAGTCCAAGCAGGTATTTCACTATTTGAAGAAGTGTGTACCGTCATGACTTAAAGCTCGTGGTAGACATTTCAGCTTCACCGAAAAAGCGTTTCACTATAGAATTAACTACTGTAACTAAGCTAATTTGATGACTGTAAGCAATTTTTTTTTTGGGGGGGGGGGGGGGGGGGGGGGGAGGTAGTAATGTAGTCATCTACTTTGTTTTTCATATTTATACTATATTCAAAGTTTAGTGAGACTTTACAAACACCCTGTAGTAACAGGGCCCTATTCTTGACTGTAGTGTATAAGGTATATGACGCCAGACTCATGTGGTTTTTTTTTTAAATCAATCGCCAGTTGATGGGTGATTAGTGAGAACTATTACCACAGCACTCCGGACAAATCCTTAGGTCCTCCTATCTCCTCCCCTGTAGCTCCATGAGGGTAAAACGACTAATAAAGCTGATTCTGTGTTGAATAATTAAATGGCTTGTGTCCTTTCTTAGATGCTTACGTCTAGCATCAAGTCTTCAGAGTAGGAAAAGGGAATAAAGAAGGAAAGGGAGGGGGAGAAGGGGGTGGGTAGGTAAGTAGTTGTACCCCACCAGGACGTCACACAAGTGATAAACACCCGGTGACACGAAGTGTCACCATGCAGATGAGGATCACCCGTAGAGAGGTCCCAGAAACCCCTTTCAGCCGTTAAGGCCATATCTATGGCCTAGGCCATGTTTATGGCCTTGCTATATTCAGGGTCCCAGGGTAGGGCTTCAAATAAAAATGTGCATCCCACATCTGGACGACTCTTTGTGTATAAAGGGGTAGGGGATGGATAGGGCGACTTGACGAAAAACTGCAATCCAGCTCGCTTTACGATAAATTGTGTCTTGCAGGAGTACGCAGAAAATGTATGTTGGATCTCTCAAATGTATTATGTGCCAATGGATGAGGAGATTCCGTTCATTAAAGACAAGAGAATGCATAGAGATATCAGCTTCTACCGATGGGTAGTGGCCATTTTCTTACTGCAGGTAACCGTTTTGTTTTGCATGTTAACTTGTACTTTCTGTCTTTGTGTGTGTGCTAAATATGCAGTGAGTATTTTTATTAGACGCATAAGTTGTTTTGTAAATGCAGTAATGAGATATATAATATATAAAGTTTCAGTTTCTAGGCTTTAAAGAGTATTAGACACT